CCACCACAGCCCTGGAGAGAAACACGGGCAGGCAGTCCCTGAGCCATGAACATGTTCACGCAGGCTGGGGGGCCTCCGATCCTGGAGGAGGAGCTACAGAATTAGGGGAAGTGGGCGGGCTGCGGGCTGAGCAAAACAAGACGAACACAGTCTCCCTCCGAATGTAACAGCTCTCCATCCCAGGGGACGTTTGCAACAACAGACGTTTCTTATTGTCTCCGCTTGCCGCAGGGGTTTGAGGGTGTGGGAGGAGTTGCTACTGACATTTAGTGGGTGCTGCGAGACACCCCGCAATGCACAGGACAGCCCACCACAATAACTACCCAGCCCCAAACATCAACAGCGTCAAAGTAGAGAAATCCTGTGATACAAGAAGGTAGACTCTTCTTTTAACATTTATCCATTTTTGAGAGGCAGAGAGAGACAGAGTGTGAGCAGGGGAGGGGGCAGAGAGAGAAGACACAGAATCCAAGCAGGCTCCAGGCTCCCAGCTGTCAGCACAGAGCCTGACATGGGGCTCGAACCCACGGACCTCGAGATCATGTCCTGAGCTGAAGTCCGACGCTTAATCAACTGAGACACCCAGGCGCCCTAGGAGGTAGGCTCTCTCTCTCTCTTTTTTTTTTTTTTTTAACTTTTTTAACATTTATTTATTTTTGGGACAGAGAGAGACAGAGCATGAACGGGGGAGGGTCAGAGAGAGAGGGAGACACAGAATCGGAAACAGGCTCCAGGCTCCGAGCCATCAGCCCAGAGCCCGACGCGGGGCTCGAACTCACAGACCGCGAGATCGTGACCCGGCTGAAGTCGGACGCTTAACCGACTGCGCCACCCAGGCGCCCCAAGCTCTCTTAATGCAAAGAGCCTACACTGTGATAGGCAGAAAATCTAGAGTTTGATCCCTGGCTGTGTCTGTCTAACTCTGTAACTTTGGGTAAAGTACCTAACCCCTTTAAGTCTTAGTTGCACATCCATAAAAATGGAGAGAACAGTAGCAGCTACCTCAGAGGGCTGTCAGAATTCAAGGAAAGAATTTATATATGACATTGATATATGGTAAGCATTCAATAAACAATGGAATGAATTAATTATGCAAGGGTTTATTATCTCTGACATAAAAGAAATGCATTCGTAGCATAAAATTCTGTCTCTGAAATAGTGGGATATGGGAAAATGGCAGCGGGGGGGGGAGGACTGAGCTGTTTAGGTGTAAGGTCTCCTGGATTCTGCTGAAGGAATTCTTTGATAGTAAGGTGTAGGCTCTGGGTGCTGGGTAAAATATCTAGCTCGTGTCCCAGTTCTCCCATCTGCAAAATGGAAATAATATCATCACCTACTTTGTGAGAGTTAAATTAGCTACTACACAAAGCTCTCAGAACAGTGCCTCATACATGGCAAGTATTCAGTAAGTGTTAGTTTCCATCTTTCCTGCTATAAGGCTAAGGAGGAGACTACAGACCTGAAGACAAAGGAAACTCTACAATGGATGGCTAAGGAGCGCCAAAGGGAGGTGTCATCTCTAGAAGTGCGAAACCCAGAGGGTGACGGACAGCCGCCATGAGAACAGGTGAAATCAGACACAGCTCTGGGCACAAAAGCTACCAAAAAGGGGAGAGTGATGATCCCCCAAACAATCCAAGGTTGTTTCGGAATCCTGAAACATGTGCTCCTGGGCAGGGGAAGTGGGCCACCGCAGGATGGCACGCTGTGCGGGCTCGGGTGGCTCACCACTCACGGCTACCTTGTACAGGGCACGGTGACCGCCAGCACCCGGAGTGGGTGGCACGGTGATCTAGGCCTTCTCACAGGCAAACCTGAGAGCTCAGCATTTCTCCAAACACCCTATGGGCCTGGAGAGGGGAGCCAAGCCCTTTTAGCCAGCCTGGCCCTTGACGCCAGGGGTGTGACTTACTCTATGCCAGCCTAGTTCCCCAGGGTGGGGCTTTTTGATGTCAGTGCCGTGCACGAACGTAAGGAGTGTGCGCATATGTCTTTATGGACAGGCTTCAGAGTTCTCCTTAGATTCTTGATCCAGATAAAAGGTTAATAACCATTACTTTAGGAAGTTCTAATTGTAAATTCCTTTTTTAAAAAGTAATCTCTAGGGGCGCCTGGGTGGCGCAGTCGGTTGAGCGTCCGACTTCAGCCAGGTCACGATCTCGCGGTCCCTGAGTTCGAGCCCCGCGTCGGGCTCTGGGCTGATGGCTCAGAGCCTGGAGCCTGTTTCCGATTCTGTGTCTCCCTCTCTCTCTGCCCCTCCCCCGTTCATGCTCTGTCTCTCTCTGTCCCAAAAATAAATAAACGTTGAAAAAAAAAAAAAAAGTAATCTCTAGGCCCAACGTGGGGCTCCAACTCCCGACCCCAAGATCAAGAGTTGCACGCTCTACTGACTGAGCCAGCCAGGTGCCCCGAAAAACTTCTTTTGTAAAGTCCGTTAACTGGCCTAATTAACTGGTATTTGTGGCCCTTCCAGCATCCCTTCTGCTGCTGCCTCTTCTTCTGAAGGGCTTTAAAACATTTCAGAATTTCATTTCTGTAAGCAGACTGTGGGAATTTCCCGAATTTACTGACGCTCAGAGAGACAGTTTCATAGTCTACCAACACATTTATCTCGGGCACGGCGGTCAGACCTTCCTCCCCCAGTTCCTTCCAACAACCACCGCGGCTTTAATAAAGGACAAAAACAGAGACCTGCTGCCTCACGTTTATTTCCACCCCGCTCGAAGCCAAGAGCGTACAATCCCAGGCAGGGGTACCCAGGGGCACAGATGTAAGGCCACCTGTGCAAACGCATCACCTCAGGTCAGTCCGAGCTGTGAGGGTGGCGGCTCGAGAAAAGAACCAGACCTGAGAAGGATCAGGATGACCAGAGCTGTTACCCCAAGCTGGAGACCAGGAAGGAATCTTGCAGGCAGGGCCCACGCTCTGACAGGCAGCGTGACATTCGGCAGCATGACGAGGCACACGTGCCAGCCCCAGCCAAGTCCGCGCTGGCCCTGAGACGGCGGGGGGCAGCCCGCAGTGGGAGCCCGGGGGCTGCTGGATCGGATCACTCTTCTATTTTTGGAGCAGCCTATACTCCCCTGTGCCTCTGCCTGACAAAGCCCCGGCAGGCAGGATGCCCACTCCAGGGAGAAGACAACGTGCTCTGGCCTCTTTCACTGCCAGGAGGGGGCCCCTGCTCTGAGCGGGGTCTTCTGCAAACACCCCTGTTCTACAGAGCCCAGCCAACAGCCCAAGCCCTACTCCCCACCGGAAAGCACAAAATTCAACTTGGTCTCAAACTTCACCCCATTCTGACCCAGTTCTGGAGCCCATGTTCCGGCTGCACCCCCCCCCCCCAAACACACACACCAACGCCCCGCCTCCCCTCCCCCACCCCAATCCTTGACCCTGGGTGGGAAGACCTCATGCGGGCCTGTTCCCAACAGAGGGACGGGGGCTGGAGGTGTCCTGAGGAGTGCCAGTGGCTCTGTGGAAATCAGAAACCAGGAATGGAAGCTGTCTGGCAAGACACCGTAGTCATGAGGCTGGGAGGAAGCAGAGGACTCAGGATCAGGAGTCCCCGGGTGCCCTGAAATGGGCTCCCATGACCTAAGGACACTCGGGACTCAAAGCTTTTCGTGGCCCGTCCAAGCCAACACGAGCCTTCAGTCTCTCCCCCTCTCTTCATTCAAACTCCCCCCAAAATTAGAGCCACGAGGGGCTTCAGAGCGCATCCCACCCCGGCCCGTCCTCTTCAGGAGGCCCAAGGTCACACGGCGAGCGGCGAAGCGCCCGGCCCCGCGGACCGCAGCCCAGGGCTGTCCCCTCCGCGTCCTGCGGGGTTCGGGGCGCCACTCCCTTCCGGGTTTGCTCCGTCTGCGCCCCTCCCTCACCTCCGGACCCGGCCGCCCGCCCGCCGCACAGCCGGGGCCAGCCCGAGGCTCCCGGCCAGGGGCCCAGCCCACGTGCTTCCCCAGGCCGCCCAGCCCCGGCCCCGGCCCGGC